ACCTGGCTTCGGATTTGTGCAGCTTCAACAATTGTGGCCTCTTGGGGAGTGAACCAGAAGATGGAAGAACTATCTCTCTGTCTCTCCCTCTCTCTGTTTAAACCTTGCCTCTCAAATAAAGAATAAAAAAAGAAATATGGGAGATGATCAGTGAATACTGACGAATGAGAGTACATGAATGAATGAAAAGAAGCCAAGCAATCCTAATGTGTTTCTAACATCCTACATATTGAAAAGATGTAAGATAATGAAAGTATCCATGGGAACAATGTAAAATTATGAGTGTAAGTCACCCTATCTCACAGTTGGCCAAATGCTTTGTTGTAAGCATGGATGCATAACTCCCCCTGCATCTTTATTGATTCAAGTTTGTTTTGAATAGTGATGATGTGCTGGAAGGTACCACCTAGAACATGGTGTTCCTTATCCCCTATAATCTTATGCACTGTGCCAGCTTCGTTCTTTTTTTTTAAAGATTTATTTTGTTTGAAAGAGTTACAGAGAGAGGTAGAGACAGAGAAAGAGGTCTTTCGTCTGCTGGTTCACTCCCCTAGATGGCCGCAACGGCCGGAGCTGTGCCAATCCGAAGCCAGGAGCTTCTTCCGGGTCCTCCATGTGAATGCAGGGGCCCAAGGACTTAGGCCATCTTCCACTACTTTCCCAGGCCATAGCAGAGAGCTGGATGGGAAGTGGAGCAGCCGGGACCAGAACCAGCTCCCATATGGGATGCCGACGCTTCAGGCCAGGGCTTTAACCCACAATGCCCCAGCGCCAGCCCCCTACCAGCCAGCTTAGTTCTGATCATCAGGTTTGCACCTCTGGTCAAACCACCCCACTTCTGTGCCTTGCACCTCTGCATTCCAGATCCATTTGGAGCCAGCTTGCTTCTTCAAGCTGTGTCTTCAGGCAGGATCAGAGGATGGCAAGCCATTCTCCAACTTTTTTATCATGAGTTGGATATTTTCCAGTTGTTAGTGGGGGGAGACAATTCTAGATGATTCTTCCAAGCATGAGGTGTCATTGTTTCACTTAATATACTGACTGTGCTGACAGCGCTGGCCAGACCACTTTCTGTCCTGCTTGGGGACTGTCCATTGTTCTCCAGTGTATGATTAGCAGATTAGCTATCATGTAAGAAGCCAGGAAAATGAACTTCAGTAAGCCCTTCCAAAGCAAGAGTAATTCATTACCCAGCCTGATTTCCACTTAAAATGTACTTTAAGCACACTTCCAATTACAAACCCTAAATCACCCTGTGTTCGCAAAGTCCATCATTTTTTATTTTATTGCACGGCGTTGGCGTGACATAATCCCTTGCAGAGCATCCCGGAGTGCCTTACAGATCCATAAATTACTTACCTGCGCAGTACAAGCAGTGTCTGCAAGGCCAGCACAGACACTCTGCAGGCAGCCTCTTGTCCAGGAAGCCAGCGAGGCTGTGCGGGTGCCAAGAATGTGCAGGGGCAAAGGGCCAGGCGAATGTGTGTCTGGGGGAGTAGTGCCTGGGAAGGAAGCACCCCAGTGAAATCTCTGCGAATACATCGAAGTGTTTGTTTTTGCAAAGGCCAGTTTAAATGACTCTAGAATGAAGAGAATTTAGAAATTTGTACCCTCCAGGCAGACAGCAAATCAAATGCTCAGTCATTAACTCAACACTCACCTTCCTGCCCTGCAAGGCTCGACGTAGCTCTTAAAACGATGCTACCGTGAATTGCAATATTATTGTTTAAATTTATATTTTTATTTGAGAGAGAGAGAGAGAGAGAGAGAGAGAGAAGGAGGGAGAGAAAGAGAAGGAGAGGGGCTGACATTGTGGTATAGCAGGTAAAGCCGCTGCATCCCATATGGGAGCCAGATCCAGTCCCAGCTACTCCATTTCTGTTCCAGCTCCTTGCTAATGGTCTGCGGAAAGCAGCAGAATATGTCTTGGATGTTTGTGCTCCTTTCACGTCCACTTGGGAGATCTGGAAGAAGCTCCTGGCTCCAGGCTTCCATCTGACCCAGTGTTGGCTGTTGCAGCTACTTGGGGAATGAACCAGCAGATGGAAGATTGCTCTCTCTGTCTCTGTCTCTCTCATTCTCTCTCTCTCTCTCATTCTCTCTTTCTCTCTCTCTCTCTCTCTCTCTCTAACTCTGACTTGCAAAGTAAATACATAAATCTTTGAGAGAGGGAAAAAGAGACCCCTTCCATTCACTGTTTCATTCCTCAAATGCTTGAAACAACTGGAACCAAGCCAAAACTGGAATTTGGGACCTCAATCCAGTTCTCCAGCATGGATGGCAAGGAGGACCCGGTTAGCCAAACCATCCTTTGATGCCTCCCAGAATGTATATTAGCAGAAAGCTGGTGTCCCAAGTGGACCCTGCTCGGACCCAGGCATTCCAATATGGTATGTGAGGCTCATGACTGCTAGGCCAAACGACATTGTATCTTAAATACACCAGGTTTTAGAGCCAGTAGTCTTTTTTCCAACCCTCACTACATGTGAGCTCCATTATTTCTGTCCTACTAAATGCCTGTGAGAGTCAAGGTAAGATACACACCCTGCATCTTCATCTGAAGGTCAATGTGGATTGAAGTCCAAACAGGATTACTTTGTGCTTAAGTCTATGCATGACACCTAGGCAGGGCAGCAGAAAATGAAAAGAGAAGTAAGGCCTTTGTTTAATATCTTAGCATCAAATAATTTCTAGCAAAGAATGAAAAATGAACCAAATGTAACAGAAGAGAGTTCATTTTCAGTGTCACACGGGATGTGCTGCGATGCTGTGGGATCCACAGGAAGAAGTCACATCTCTCAGGGATCACCTGGAGGGCTGATGGAAGTGGGAGTTATTCAGTCAGTCCTTGAACAAGTCCAGCAGCTGTTGCTAGTCAGAGAGCAGAGCGTGTTAGCATCAGCAGTATGCAGTGGAATAAGGAGATAAAGGTGCAACATGTACTTATAAATAATGAGTGCTCCCAGGAGGGTGGCATGTAGGATAGAAAAGGAAAGTAATATTGGGAAAGAAGAGAAAGAGAACATCTCTTTATAATCTCCATTTTCATGGAGGACAATGTGCAGCAAAAGTATAAATGAGTGAATAATGGTACAAGTAGAGGGAAGGCCAGCATTGAAATTTCCAGACCAGAGTGACTCACTCTGGCCTTGGGAACAGAGGATAAATCATCGTGGGCTGCCCTGGGTTTTCCAGCAGATCAGATCACATTGATGACATACCCTGGAGCTTCATAGTGTGGTGGCTTTGAGGAATACTTATTCTGGGAAAGAATGTAGCATGAAGAAGCACAGGAGTGCGAACAGAGGGACCACTTAATTTGCCAAGAACCAATGTGTTACCTCCTGCGTTAGTAGATGCGAGGATCCAGCTTTTGGGCTATTAGGAATGTGTGGCAGGTTATGAGTCAACCCTATAAATATTTGTAGAGCTTTTACTGAGGATACAAATTTGAGGAAGGTATGAAAGCTCACTGCCTGGTAGGTGAGTGATGCCAAGCAAACAACCGTAACACTGTGGGATAAGTTCTAGAACTGGGGCTCAATAAAGGATGCCCTAGCTTTATCCGCTGGAACTGTAAACCCTCTGACAGATAAGACAAATGAGTAGCCACACGAAGAACCCAGGATCACATTTACTAGGGGCAAAGCTGGTTCTGGAGAATTAGGCTTAGGTGTGCAGCAGCAGTGGTCTTCAAAGCCTGGACCCCTGAGTGAGACAGGTGCACGTGCAGTAGCCGGCAGGGACACAGCGCTCACCCCAATCCTGTGGGATCCTGTGCTCCTCCTGTGAAGCCAGTATGAAGAGTGGCTGCAAAAAAAGAGGCAGAAGGAAGAAAGGTCCTGCCTCTAGCTTTACCCAGCAGCACACGCCTCTCCCCCAGCTGATGTCTTGCTGACTCTCTGCGCCGTGTGCGTAATATGCTCTGAGAACATGTTTAGCAGCAGTAAACTCAGCTGTTAGGGAGGGCAGAGGGGTGTAGGGCAAGGAAAGTTTGCAGCAGTGAAATCGGCATTGTTCGACCCCAGGAGGACGAGGGGTGTTCTAGGAAGGCTAGAAAGCACCTTATAGATCCACAGACATGATGACCAGAAAGGCACGGTGTGTTGGGGGGCTACTGGGGATAAGTAGAGCTGGAATAACTGGGGCTGTCAGTGGAAGTGTAGGTTGGTGCTGGATGCTGAATGGCTACGTATGCCAGGGTAAGGGGCATGGTTGTGATGGGGTAGGTGACAGAGAGCAATTGGAGCTGGTTAGGCAGAGATGTGCTGTGATGAAAACTGCATTATAACCGGCGCCGGGGCTCACTAGGCTAATCCTCCGCCTTGCGGCGCTGGCACACCGGGTTCTAGTCCCGGTCGGGGCGCCAGATTCTGTCTCGGTTGCCCCTCTTCCAGGCCAGCTCTCTGCTGTAGCCAGGGAGTGCAGTGGAGGATGGCCCAAGTACTTGGGCCCTGCACCCCATGGGAGACCAGGATAAGTACCTGGCTCCTGCCATCAGATCAGCGCAGTGCACCGGCCGCAGCGCGCTGGCCGCGGCGGCCATTGGAGGGTGAACCAACGGCAAAGGAAGACCTTTCTCTCTGTCTCTCTCTCTCAATGTCCACTCTGCCTGTCAAAAAAAAAAAAAAAAAAAAAACCTGCATTATAGAAGGACATCTCTGGATGCAGTGTGGTGGAAGACTCGTGGAAGTGTATTGGAGGTGGGTGGGGGGTGAGTGAAGCCAAGAAGAAGGTGGAGGATAGAAGAGTTATTGCAGTATTGCCATGGAATGCATGCCCATTTAGACTCCCTGGATTTGTGTTTGAATAAGAGGAGATGAAGCTGAACGCAAGGTAGGGTGTTTTTCAGGATTCAGGTAATTCCTCCAATGTCTGATCTTTAAGATGATAATACAGTTTTCAGCCTCTGGGCTCTGCTGCTAACTACCATTTGAAGACAACAAAGAAATGTTTCTGTAGGTGTTGTATTTTCCCTTCTACCTGTTTTGTCTCCACAGTGTCACCTAAAATTGTAGAGATTTCTTCAGATATCTCCATTAATGAAGGAAACAACATCAGCCTCACCTGCATAGCAACTGGTAGACCAGAGCCTACGGTTACCTGGAGACACATCTCCCCCAAAGGTAAGAGAGGCTGGTGGGTACATGGTGCACCAAAAGAACTAGGAGAATGATTAGCTATGCGTATAGGAGGTCATGGTACGAGTTACTTAGTTCAAGGGGTACTGCACCTTCTGTAGCCTGAGAAAAATGCACTCATAACTCTGCAGAGAATTTTGGTGTCTTGTGAAAAACAGGCTAATTACCTGGGACTTAAGAAATTATACCCAAGTATCTGCCCCCAGTCCCTTGGAAATTAATCCCAGTTGTGTGACGTGGTGGTGAGATGTTACGGGGTACGTGAAATGTGTTGTTGGAAGATTCTACTTTGCTGGCATTGTTCAGCTGCTTTAAGAGATGGAAACCACAGGCACATAATGATGGAGGAGAACTTTACATGACCGTCTTCCTAAAAGGAAAATACCCAAGTCCGTTCCTCTTCAGCATTGCCAGAAGTCTGGTCATTGGTTGTTTCTGTGGTTTTGTTGTTGTTTTACTCTGACTGAGCCTTGATAACAAGTGTTGAAAGTGTGACTAAATTGCAAATTTAGCTTTGCTTGCATGTTCAGATGTTACATAGACCAGATTGAGTGTTGCTTTGTGTTTTCATGAATTGAACATTAAAACTGTTAGTTTCAGACAAAATGTCATTTATCTTTAAGCTAGTTTTTTTTTGGGGGGGGGTGCATGGAAAGGTGTTCCATTCACCCTTAAACAGTACAATGAATATGTAGTCCAGGCTGTATGGGTGTATGTGTGTGCTTGCGTGTATGGATGAAGGTGTGGGTACCGCTGAGTAGTATGGTTTTAAGGATTATAAAGGCACCACAGTGGTTGTGGTTTGTTTATTAGATGGTGCTCATAGGATCAACTTCCTTGAAGGAGACAGGGAGAGAAGTTAAGCTGTGATGCTGTCACAACGTATCAGCTGAGCCCAAAAGGACTACCAGAGCTGGGATGAGCCCTCAGAGCCGCCCTTGATGGAGGTGATTGGCTTCTACATCAACACAGCAGTCAGTCATTTAATTCAGGCCATCCCCAGAAGGAGTGTGACCTTGGGCCTGCATCTCTCTCCACATGAGAGAAGCCCCACAAGGGCTGTCCACGAGCAGCGTGTCTGTCCAGGGCTTCACAGTGCCCACTGCATTTGGACATGAAAATCAAAGTCAGGGTAGGACCATGAGTGGACCCCGGATGCTGAATTTCCTCTCTCATACCATGTCAGTGTGTTCTGCTAGGTGTTCTTAGAGAAGGCATGAAATGCTCAGTTGTGTTTGACTTGAATACCTGGGAGCCATCCCTGGTTACCATTCATACATGCATGCATAAACACACTCACCATTATATATATATATATATATACACACACACACATATATATATACACACATGTATATGTATATTTTTAAATGTTTTGATGAACATGTAACATTGGTACAGTTTATGGGGTGCCTTGCAATATCTCAACACATGTTTAAGGCATGAAGTGATCAAAACAGGGAATCAGTGTGTCCATTTCCTTATCTTTTCCTGTTTGGTGTGCACCTGCTTTTCTCCTCTAGCTCTTCACAGGGTGCATTCTGTGAACTACCACTGCTCCATTGTGCTGTGGGGCACCAGCACGTGCTGACTCTGTGCTTTGGTACCTATATTTTTAAAAGATTTATTTATCTACTTGAAAGTCAGAGTTATACACAGAGAGAAGGGGAGAGAGAGAGAGAGAGAGAGAGAGAGGTCTTCCATCCGCTGGTTCACTCCCCAATTGGCCGCATCAGCTGGAGCTGCACCGATCTGAAGCCAGGAGCCAGGAGCTTCTTCCAGGAACTTCTTCCGGGTCTCTCAAGTGGGTGCAGGTGCTCAAGGGCTTGGAGCATCTTCTACTGCTCTCCCAGGCCACAGCAGAGAGCTGGATTGGAAGTGGAGCAACTGAGTCTCGAACTGACGCCCATATGGGTTGCTGGCACTGCAGGCGGTGGCTTTACCTGCTGTACCACAGCACCGACCCCATGTGCTTTGGTACCTATTAATCAACCTCCCTCTTTCCACTCTTTGCACCCTCCCCAACTTCAGCAATCTAACTTCAGGTTGATTTTTGTTAATTTCCAATAATGAGAAAGAACATGCCACCATTTACTTTCTAAAGATTTATTTATTTGAAAGATAAAACAATAGAGGATATATATATATATATATATATAGAGAGAGAGAGAGAGAGAGAGAGAGAGGGAGAATCTTCCATTCACTGATTCACTGACTCACTGATTCACTCCCTCCAAACGGTTTCAACAGCCAGGTCTGGGTCGGGCCAAAGCCAGGAGCCAAGAACTCCATCCTGGTGTCCCACGTGTGTGGCAGGAGCCTAAGTACCCCTCTGCTGCCTCCCAGGTGCGTTAGCAGGAAGCTGGGACGTGAACTGGTGCTCTAGTAGGGGGTGCTAGTGCCCTAACCTGCTGCCCCACAACACCAGCCCCATTCCATGAGCAACGAGATGTGCAAAAACTCGGTGTGTCTCTGTCAGACACTCCACTGGACATGCCCTAGTGTGCAGACTGCTCCAGAATCGGGGAGGGGCGTCAGCTGCAGGAGCTCCTCCGTGATGGAGAGCTGCCTCGGGCACTTCCGAGGGAGGGGCCGTCCAAGTGGACAGACTTTCCTCGTCCACGGAGCACGCCATCCGTCACAGTTGAATGCTGAGTCCCCAGTGCTGCCGGACGCCCGTGCCTTTGAATCTGGGGGACATCCATCACCGCGGCGGACTTTTCTTTGCTTCGCGACGGAGGCACGTCTGTGCTGCGTCCCTCCTCTGGCCAGCAAACTCCTCGTCCTTTCCCAGGGTGCTCCTCCCTTTTCCTCTCTGCATCTTCTTTCCTGCCTGCATTTCCCCCGTCTCCCTCTCTCTCAGCCCCTCCAATGCTTCTGCTTTCGTTTCCCTATTTCCCACCTTCTCTTTCCTCCTCTCTCTCCTCACCACCCTCGAATGGTTGCACCTGCTGTGTTTGTCTGGCAGTGTCCTAGGGGGCCTTCCCCAACCCCTTTTGCAGCCATTGAGCGGATTCATTTTCCCCAGGGACTTTCACCTGAGCCTGGGCCAGCTGCTTCCACTTCACCGGGGTTTTGGCTGCCATGGAAACAGCGGATGGATCCAGGGGAGAGGCGCAGGATAATCAGAACCTACCTGCGGATTAGAGTCATTTAGATGAACAGCTTTGTCCAGATCCCAGGCCCAGATTAGCTGTCCCAGATTCAAAGTGATGGGACGTGTGGAGCAGCCGCTAATCCTCCAGAACTCACCAGGGTGCTGTGTGCCCGGCGGCTGATTATTTGGACATCAGAGTTGTCATCGGGTGGCTGCCAAATCCAAAGGGAAGCTGAAGGCTCTTAGCAGTCAGGCCTTCATCTTGCCCCACTAAGGGCGCTCATTTTCAATACGTTAGGACAGGCCCGGAGTTCCTCGGAGAAGAACCTTCACACAGGCTCCAGAGGGAGAGAACCATTACTGTCATCATCTGCCCTGTTCTTTGAGGGGAGATGATGTTTCAATCAGGATCATTCCTACTCACGCGCCCATTAAGTCTCTGCACAGATTGCTGGTCGACGCTGAGCGTGATGGCAATCCTGACGACTTCATGGCGGTTTCTCTCTCCAGACGGAGCCGTTCCCTCCACACCTTGCTGAGAAAACCTGGGGTTGCTTTCCATAAACTTAGGCAAAGTCTTTAGAGTGGGTACTCCCCATGTGTGTGGAAAAGGAGTACAGAAGTGTTGATCACAGTTTCAGTACTGCCTTGCAAATCGCAATAGAGTGTTGCTTCATAGTGATCTTCTGGTGGGAGAGAGGTTGTCTATCTCCAAGGCTCTAAGACCCCCAAACTACCTCTTGGCAGTGCCACTGATAGTAACTGATTCTTGTGGCCATCATGTCTTTTTCATTATCTTCATGAACTTATCACTCTGAGTTTAAGAAGAAAGTGTTACTTGCTATTTTTATAACAAAAAAGTTTTATTGTATGTATTTGAAAGGCAGAATTACAGAAGGATGGAGAGAGAGAGAGAGAGGTATTCTGTCCACTGGTTCATTCCCCAAATGGCCACAACAGCCAGGGCTGGGCCATGCTGAAGCCAGAAGCCAGGAGCTTTTTCCAGGTCTCCCATTGTGGGTGCTGGGGCCCAGGCATTTGGGTCATCATCTGCTGCTTTCCCAGGTGCATTAACAGGGAGCTGGATTGGAAGTGGAGCAGCCGGGATACGAACCAGTGCCTATATGGGATGCTGGCACTGCACGTGGCAGCTTAACCCTCTACACCACAGTGCCAACCTTGAAAGTGTTACTTGATTTCTAAACATACATGTCTTCTGTCTGTGCACCTGTTTTGAGGTGTGCAGATGCTGTTTGCACCTGCAGTGGTCCTCCTCTCTCTTGGAGGAAAAGTCCCCATCTCATTATTCTCACAGGAAAGACCATCTCTGTTTGGCATGAGGGTTTGGTTGAGCCCCAGTCCAGGTCCTTGCAGGTGTCAGCTCACTGCTCCTGCTGCAAATGCATGCTCTGTGCAACCACTGCCTCCCGTGGGACCTGTGCCTTGTCTTTTGTCCTCATCTAGGCGTGCAGGAACACATCTTAGCACAGCCCTTCAACTTTCAGCTTCCTGCCTCTGGTAGAATGCCTTTAATGCTACCTTATTTTTCTCATTCTGCCCTGAGGAAACAGAAACCCATCTGTTTTAGCATATCCTGAAAGACGCTAGGCAGGACTTCACTTTCCATAGGTAAGTATTCTCAAAACCCTGCTGTTACATCATCTAATTCTATTGATTGTAAGAGCTTTAGGGAGAAGGCTGGGATCCCTGCATTGCCACATTCCTGGGAGCCCCATATCAGATCCGAGTGAAGTACTGAGTCCACTTGCAAATTTGCAAGTTGTCACTCTACATTTAGGATCAGGCATCACTGAGCTCTCTAATAGAGCACCCTCTATTCTGTACCAGCCTCCACCTTCCACTCATCCAACAAAATATTGAGCATAAA